GAGACCCAGTCTGTGTCATTGAGTGGGTCTCCTTCACATCCCTCATTCTTCACACAGAGGCAACTAAGCAGTAATGTCTTGCTTTTGGTAGGGTTAGCTTTTGTTGAAGCACAGGTCAAATAATGGTAAAATTCATCTGTGAACTTGGAGAGAAAAGACTTCTTGATGAAAGGTGTGATACCGAGAAATAACAGTGAGTCGGTGAATTGTTTTCAGGTAGAACATGGTGCCATGTGGTGTGGTTTTGCCCAGTTTGCTACCAGTGTACCTGCAGAAGTCAATATTACATGGAGATTTGTTAACTGGCATTGGAGACTTGTCATAAAATAATGCAAACATTTGTAACTTTGAAAGTTTCCATTTAGTTTGCTTTATGCGGCTGGGTAAAGTTGCATCAAGTCAATTTACGGACATTGTAATACACTTCAAAATATTGCTCTGTTGCTCTTTTTTTAATCAAACTTATTGACCCCAGAACTTAAAATGAATCAACAATACAAGGCTTTTTGTTTTGGTATATGTGAAATTAAACCCTGTAACTGCATTTCAGATAGGATATTGGTAGCAGCAGTCAAGGTAGTGAGTCACCCCCCTCACCCACCCACTAATACCACAATGGAGTGTGACCTTCAAATCCTAATTAAGGTTAAGGATATTTAGGGTATTTCTTAACTAAATTAGTTCAAAGTGTTCTCCCAGCTGCCATGGCTACACTGCTTCTGATACTTAAGCCTAGTCCTCTAACTCTAGCTTGTGCCCTGCACTTCACTGTATTATACTGCACTGTACTTCAGCCTACCATCGAGATGTACCCATACTATATTGTACTTAATTTTGTCTTTCATAGTTACTTAGCCACATGTTAATGCAATTATTGATGCACTAAAACAAGGAGTAAGATATGTAATAACTTTATGGCTGGTTCCCATCATGTCTTAAATTGCACGGGGCCAGGAGTCAGCTGATTGGGCCTCCCTGCTTCAGGAGCACAATGGAGCCCTTGGCTCCGATGCACCCCTGAGGCCGGAAGTCCTGTTCAGCTGCCACTTCCAGTCTCTGGGGGTTAGGGGCTTTCATCCCTCCAGAGGCTGGGAGCAGCAGCTAATCACCCTGGGGTTCCTAGTCTCTGAGGTCCATCAGAGTCCTTGACCAGTCAGAGTCCTGGTGTGCTCCCAAGGCTGGGAGCAGGGGATCAGCTGACTGGCTTCCTGCTTGCTAGTGCAGGAGGAGCCCGGGATCATGATCTTGGGTTTCCCCTTTACCTGCAATGCGGCACAATTGGGATTGGATTCCCACTTCCACAGTCTTGTCTCCTGCCATGCACATGCATTGGATCCCATCGTGTCTCTAATTGAATGTCTGCCAGGGGCCTTGCCTTGTTTTTGCTAAGTGTTAGATCTGAGTGCAGTATTTATTCATTGGTAAGTCTTTGTGGCTTCACTTGCATTACAGTAAAGTAACTCATCTGCACCATTTTTTAAATAATCAGTATATGAAAAGTACATCTTGTTCCAGAATAGGAGTATGGTATAGAACAATTGTTGATAATGATCCTTCCATAAGCTCTGTTCAGAAAGGAACAAGAACTATTCAGAAAGATAGCCAGAGTGAGCCAGGTGCTTTGAGGAACAGGCTGAAAAGGAATGAACCAGAAGGCTAAGTGTGAGACATTTGTAGAGATGAAATCCCAGAAGAAAACTGGGAAAGAGATCAGGTTCACTGGCCACACAATGATTGCATAAAACCAGGCCAGTATGGGGCAATATATGCTCTACCCCTCACTGACTGAACCTCTTCTGGAAGATGATTTAATAGTGAATAGTTAGTGATCTATTTAGTTACACTTACTTAAAATAAACAACATATACCAACATTACTTTGAAAATCAGCTCCGTTTCAGAATAAATAAAACTACAAGGAAAAGGAATTCTGCAGAAAGAGAGCACTGCTCAGAGGTATCTTGTAATAAGACTCTGAAGTAACTCAAGAGTAACACACATCTCTGTTTCTGAATTTTGAATCTTCTGAATTCTTAGTGAATGCTTTTAATAATTGCTTTATACCACAATATTTAATCTTGTGGATAATTCCTGGTGATTTTTTGCTGCTTTTCTGGATGCTGCAGCAGTGCTTTCTTAAGCCTTGGCGAAATTGAATATTACTTGAATATTAAATTCCTAAATGTTGTAAAAGTGAGGTCTCAGCTTGTGTAAATTCTTATGGTCCCAGTGAAGTTAACAGGTCTAGAACAATATACGCCAGCTAAGTTTCTCTCTCTTTTCTGAAGTTTTGACCTTATTCTGAAACTTTCTGCAAATATTGATAGGATAATTTTAGTATTCTTTAGAGGCTTATCTAGTGCAAGTATTTCATACCCTATACATGAAAATGGCTGTCTAATATTCTGTGACTTTTCTATTCTCCATTTTACAGATTAGTTGAGAAATGTTTATGTGTGATCTTTTTGTTGTTCGCTCCTTCTGCCATATGCATTTGTGGCCTTTGTAAGATGCTGCCAGATTTCTCAGCTGCAAAACTTGGCTGTGCTACCCATGTAGCTGTGAGCTGATGTACTGGGTCAGTGGCCATAATGTTGCTTTAAAGCTTCCTATCTGACTTCTCTCCTGTATTACAAGCAGCAACTGGCCTGAAAACGAGTTTTCCCCTGGTAGCAGTGAGTAGGCACAGAAGCCTTTGGGGGGAGCAGGGCATACTTTATCCTGCTTAGTTTTCTATGCGTCAGTTTTTCATAATTTGGAATGAGCAGTAAAATGGTGATGTTAGTGTTAGATCTGCATGTGCTGCCAAGCAGCACTGTAGTTAATCTGCTTATCACCTGGATATAACATATGATAATTTTACAGAGTAATATATGGCTGAAGTGCCAGGGAGTCACTGGCGTAATAGAAAAACACTCTAATAGGGAAAAGTTAAGTATTGTAGCCAGTTTATCTCAGTCGAATTAATGCTTAAATGCATAAGGCACAGTTTGAATATTTTATCCAGTTCTTAATTGGCTATGGTTTGTTCTACACCATGAAGCATTTCCATCATGCTTGCCTTATCTGTGGGTATGTATGTATGTCTGCAATGTTCCTGGTATGGATGGAGCTACTCCACACAGACTGGTAGAAAACTGTTAGGGCTTGTGGTGTTTGAGGTGGTGGTATAGGTAACACAGAAGAAAATGTTTTTCTGTGTGTCCCCAGTATGAGTTTCTGTTTTAGCAGCGAAGAGTCCATAATGTAGACGAGCCCTGGTTTGGTCTAATTTTATTGGCTGAAGTCTAAATTGTCTTTGCATTGGTGTTAAGTGAAGGGATTCAGTGGAGTTGAACTCAACTCAAAACAACTATTCACCTTCCACCTTCCTCCCAGTTGATTTCAGTCACCTTGTTTAAATTGGGAAGAAAACTGACCAGCAGCTTACATTTCTGACTGACTATAAAATGCTGCTAGTCCACCCAAAATCTTGAGATGGTGAATGTTTAGAGACAAAAAGTCATTTGAATATTGCTCAAGCTGGAGAACAGAAAAATCAGTGAAGAAAACACTCTTGAAATAAAAAGGGCTTGGACATCAACTCTGAAGCATTTGTATTTCCTCTTTCTGGAATTCTGAATCTCTTGTGAGACCCTTGGGTTGTAATAGCAATTCCTAAAGCTGCAGAGCTATACTAATTTAACCCTCACTGCTTTCATTTTAAGTGCTTGTCTGCACACTGGTGGGAATAAAGTAATTCAGAATCCCTATACCATGTACACATTTGAGAACTGTATTGTTTTTAATGATTTCTAAACTGATATAGCTGTACACAAAGTGTAGATCAGCCCTTGAATTTATGTATGTTTCTTAGATGCTGAACTCCATCTAGTTTCAGGCCAAAAGTTGTTTTGTTTTAAAGGTTAGGACAAAATTTGAACAAGTTTAGTTATGAAGTTGTTAATTCACTTTTTTCTGTATTTAAAAATTAGGTTTCCTTATGTAATTACTCAAAATTATTGGTTTTTGCCTGGGTGTTTAGTCCTCAGTAATGACATATGCCTTTGGTAGAGCGTGAAAAGATTTTGGCTAAAATGAGAAATGTTTTACAAACATTTTTAAATACCAGCCCTTTTTTAGATGCTCATCTTTGCCAACAGGTCTTCCAATAGCTGTACCCCTCTCTACAGAAAGGAAAAAGGACATGAATGAGAATCAACATGAAACTGATGGGGGGGGGGGCGGGAAACGTTTTTAGGAAGGCCTCCAAACCAGTTCTAGCCAGTAGAGGCTCCAGTTCTTATTAAGTTTAAGCAGCAATAAGATTTTTTCCTTCTCCTTGTGCATCAGGGCAAAAGAAGGAGCAGCTAACTAAATTCATAAGAACTTTACTTCAGGGCTTTGAGTTCAAGCAGTTGAATTACATTCAGAAAACAAAGCATCTAGACCCCTAGACACTGCCATGATCTGCCACCTGTCATAACCATTATGGTTTCTGGCCACATATCCACATGTGCTTTCTCCCTTCACCACCTGCTTTCCTTTCCTGTTATATCTAGCTCCAGCCAAGATTGGAACAGGGTGCTCTGGGCTGTTTGACCATAAGCCTTAGGCTGATCCTACATCCCTTCACAACTCCTTAATCAGCCCATGACCTACCTAGCAGCATCTCCAAAGTCCAGGAGAGAGAGGGTGCCATCTTCCTGTTGGGACCCTATTTTTAGAAATGGGGAAATAATTGTCCCTCAAAAATGGCTGGACAGACTTTCCTCAGGCTTACAAACTTATATTTAGCAGAGGCTCAAATGAAAGCACACAGGTTCCAGCAGATAAATTCAAGTACATGAAAATGAGGCTTTAAAATGGAAGTGCCATTTCAGTTTAGAGAGTTAAAGCTGTGATGCATAAGACAGGGCATTATGTAATACTACATTAGCAAGCACTATAATAGTCACTCCCTCTATAGTTTTGTTAATTTCTCCCAAATCTTCTAATTTCCACTATTCTGTTTTTTCCCAGGTGAATGGAAAAGGTTCATTATGGTGTGTTGATCCAGAATATAAGCCCAATCTTATACAAGCGCTGAAAAAACAACCTTTTCCCTCAGCACTTGCATTTTATACCCCACCTGCATCACCACCAAGGTAGGTCAGTTTTCTTTTACAGGTACAGAACTGAATTGTGCTAATATTTACAATGGATGAAATTTGGAAGAAAAGTTTGGAAACCTGTAACAAAAGAAATGACTATTTAGAAAAAAAACTGAGGGGAAATTTGCCCATGTTCGTTCTTTTCTTAGTAGAGGAAGGACTAGAATGGAGGCAAAAGGTTGAGAGAGAGAGAGCATACTGTGTGGAAGAGGTGAATGGGTGAAAGAGTGATCTCCAGTCTCATCCAACAGTGCTGCAGAGAGGGAGTTGAATAGGCAATGTGAGAACATAAATTAAAACCCCTTACTTGAAAATCTTTCTTTTTTCTTCTGTTTCAATTTGTAATGGGCAAGGTCTGGAAAAAGTAAAGGAAATCATTAGCAAAAAGGCTGGGCTTGAAGTCTTGAATGTGGAAGAGGCTTAGAATTTCTTTAAGTCAGACAATACCACAAGTGAGGGGGAATTTATTTGAAGGGAAATGCTCTGGACCTAAATGGGTGAATAATCACATCAAGAAGAGTATCAAGAATAAGCAGGAAGCCTATAAGGAAAGAGGGAGGGGGAAGAGACTGATTTATCAGAGAGCTACGTCTTTCTTTGATAATCAAAGTTGAACAAAGTTGGACCTTGCAAAGAAAATTAAAAGAATTAGCAAATGCGTCTTTATCTTTATAAACAAAGAAGAGGAAAGAAGTGCAGCCATTATGCTGGGAATGGGAATTAAAAGTATTCCACCTATAGCCTGAAACCCAAACCAGTACTTTGTAATCCTTTTTAGTAAGGATAACATTGAACCTGGGAACAAAGACAGTATGGTTTGGAGGGGACTGAGAACATGGAAAAGGAAATTTCCACATTTCAGGTGGAAGCAAAACTGTGCTCTCAATGTTTTCATATTGGGAAGACCAAAAAATCCCATCCAAGAATTATCAAAGAACTGGAACATGAAATCTTAAATTTGGCAGCAAGGATTTTTAATGGTTATCAAGTCAGATGGAATACTGTATATACAAACCTATATGTACCTATATGTAAGAAAAGGTGATAGAAGTAGTTTAAGGTGACTGCATGCCTGGTTAATCTGGCTTTAATAGTGCGCGAGATTTTGGAACAGATTTAGAAAGAAAGACATTAACTATGTAGAAGTCAATGTAAAACCTGATAAAATGCAACATGAGTTTGGAAAAGATAGATTGTTTCAGAGTGACTTGATATCTTTCTTGGATAAGGTAACAAGTTAGCTAGACAAGGAAGATGTGGTCAGTTTCCTCTATTTGGATTTCTGTAGAGCACTTGATATGGTGCCACATGCAAAGCTACTAGTGAGGACTATGATTAATACAAGAATTGTAGGATGGATGAGGAACTGGCTAAGGGAGAGATGACCAAAATGAATCCTGTGGGGCTGAATAGAGGTTATTAATGGAATTCCACAATGTTTGAGATTTGATCTTATTTAATTGTGTCATTTTTGGCCTTGCCATGAAAGGGGGTGGACTGATAAAAATTCCAGATGATGCTGAGTTGACAGGTATAGTAGGCATGGTAGAGGATGGTAGTGTCCTAAAGCGAGTATTGGACAACCTTGAGGACCTGACTAACAAATTCACACACAGCAAGGTTGTACTGTTGGAAACTAAGAATAAGAATTTTGCTATAAACTTAAGGGCTCAGCTTTTACAAGCTGGGATGGAGAAGAAAGTAGCCTTTAATCAATTCATACACCTAGCAATGAGCTAGCAATGTGGTACAGCCTTTAAGAAGGCAGCTGTGATTCTGCAATCACTGTTGGTGAATTGTTTTCAATTCTAAGTATTATGTTCTTAAGTAGAGTAAGTATTATGCCACAGTAAAAGGTTCTGCTAAGATTTTGGTTACAGTTCCTTGCACCCATGTTCAAGAAAGATGAATTCAGATGCGAGTCGGGGCAGAGAAGGGGCTCTGCAGTGTCAAGGGAATTGAGAAACCTACCTTTTGAGATGAGACTGTAAGATCTTGACTTGTTCAGCTTGGCAAAATAATGGTTGAGAATGGTCAGGCCTGCTCTGCTGAAGGACAAGTGTAATAACAGTAGGTAAACACAATATTAAAAATATTAGACTGGAGTTTGAAAGACCTATCAGAGGAATGAGATTTGGAAGAGGTTTCCAATAGTAGGGGGGGAGGGACAAAAAACTGAAGTGATTTCAGGATGGAGCATGGTAAGTTTGTGTTGTGGTTGCTTATAATAGAAGAGGTCTGGAAGATATCTCCTGGGTCATTGAAACCAGTCCTGTTCCTTATGTATTTCTCCATGCTTGAGAAATGTTTGTATGTTCTGGCTCTTCAATTTTTAAAAGTTTTTTATTTTTCAAATTTCCAAAGCATTTTGTTTTGAAAAAACATATCATCTCAATTTAGATGGTTATGTAACTATTGAAAAAAGAGAAAATAATTGGCTTTACTACTACTTTCTGATAAAAATGTTATTAGGACTTCTGCAAATCCCTGTCTGGTATTTTACTTTCAAACAAGATTGCCACAGTGACCCTTAGATTTGCACCCCTTACGCAAGACTGAAATACATGGCAGAGAATAAAAAGATTTGCACAGCTTGGTCCCTTTATAATTGGGTTTTGTATCCCATTATTTTCAAAAGTGGTCTCTAACTTTCTTGTTATGCTAAGCTGCGTGTTATCTTTGATTTGAAAGGACCAGGCATAAGGTTGTGAAGCTATTGTATGGCACTTGATATGCGTATTTGGCACCTTGGGGTATTCCAAACTTGCTAAATATTATAAATTTTAATATCTTCTCCAAAACATCTAATTTCTAAGTACCCTTCATGTAACGTATAACTACATTTATTTAGGAAATAATTGTTTTGGGGCACAAAATGAATATATGATTGAATATTTAAAGTGAAAATACAGCATCATAATATGGTTAATAGCCCTTTCAGGCTTTGTGTTGTGGAAATTATGGTTATTGAAATTAATAACAATATATTTTAGAAAGTAATGTGTTTTACTAGAGCTAGTATTTTTTGCAAAAGGGATATGCAGATAACACACAAGTGTAGTCTTTGCAGAGCCAGATCCTAGATTTTTAGACCTCTTGGCTAGGCATAGACGCTCAGAAAGCCCAAGGCTGAATTGATTCAATCTTTGCAAGTTTCTTTAAACTGCTTAGATTGAACTGGTAAGAAAAGTGAATTCATGTTTGCTTTTCAAAAGTGAAAGGGAGCCAGACCCCTGCAGTGGCCCATACCAGGAAGCAGGGAGCACTAGAACTCACCCCCCAGCCTGGCAGCCAGTGGGGAAATGAGTGATTTCCCCAGGCAAACCTCATCTTTAGCCTTCAGTCCACAAAAGAGGGGTTGTGGGGGGGGGGAATGCTTCCCCACCAGACCTCTGGCCAGGGTCTTCCTAGCACTGGGGAAGGGGGAGGAGGGAAACGCAACCAAGGGGTGTTTTTCCCTCTCTCTCTCTCTCTCTCCCTGTGCCCAAAGCTGGTTCCCCTAGCCATGCCTCCTCCTTAGTTTGGGCAGGCTGAGAGATGGACCTGGGGGGAAATCTGTCCCTCCTCTCCCCCCCCCCCAGGCCCTAGCTAGGGTCTCCCCAACACAGGAGGAAGGGGGGAAGCACCTAGTAGGGCACCTCTGCCCCTCTCTTCTCAGTCTGGGCTGGTTCAGAGGGGCAGGGCGGGGGGGGGAACCCTCCCCTCAACCTGGCACTAGACCCCCAGCTGGCGTCTCCCTGGTGCTGGGAAAGGTGGGAGGGGGGAACCCCAAGTGGGGCAGTTCTCCTCCCCACTATACCCAGAGCCAGGAGCTGGGCTGATCACCTGGCCATTCTTCCTCCTTGGCCAGCTGAGGGAGTGGGGCAGGGAGGAATGGCCCTCACCCAGCTCTGGATCCCAAGCTGGGCTGTGCCAGGTGCAGGGGTGGGAAGCCCTCAGTGGGACTATTTCCCCTGCAACTCCCTCCTCAGCTGGCCTATGGTGGGCGCATGGCTGGGTGATCAGCCTCCTTCCCAGCTGCAGAGAAGCCCGCAATGGGGGCTTTACTCCTGAGCCAGGAGTTGGCTGAATCACCTGACCACATCTCTTGCTCAGCCAGCAGGCCAGATAATGAGGGAATGGAAGGAAAAAACAGCCCCAACTGAGGGCTTCCCACCCCCTGTGCCAGGCTCAGCCCAGCTTGGGGTCCAAACCCAGGCTGGGGGGGGAGGGGGCGGGTGCATTTTCCCCACTCCCTCCTCAGTTGGCTTGCTGGCTGAGCAGGGAGCATGGCTGGGTGATCGGTTGGGCTCCCAGCTGTGGGGAAGCTTACAGTGGAGGCTTTACTCCCCTGCCTGAACTGGGAGCTGGCCCAATCACATGGCCACACCACCTGCTTGGCTGGCAGGCTGGCTGAAGAGGGAGTAGAGGGGAAACAGCCCTCCCCCAGCCCAGCTTTGGACCTCAGCTAGGCTGTACAGAGGGTGGGAAACCCATAATTCAGGCCCTTTCCCCCTCCCCACTCCCTCTTCAGCTGGCCCACTGGCTGGGGAGGGGGCACAGTTGGGAGATCAGGCCCTGGTTTCCAACTCAGGTGGGACTGCAGGCTTCCCTGCAGCCAGGAGCTGGGCCAGTCACCTGATGACATTTGCTCTATGGCCAGTAGGCTGGCTGAGAAGGGAGTGGGGAAGAAAAATGGCAGCCTTCTCCCCTTCCCTCTTCCATCCCCATTCCAGACCCCTGCTGCTGTTGCAGGAGCTGCTGTGTGAGCACAGCCCCTGGTGCCGCTGGTTTGCTGCAGCCAACTCAGGGTCAGAGCATCAGCTGCCCAGCACCTCCTGGGCAGAGCTGCAGCCTGGAGCCTCATCCCCACCCAGGAGCAGGGCTGGCAGCTGGGGTGGGACCAGCTCTTTTGCGTTGGAGCAGAGAGCACAGCCCAGCCCAGGGCTGCACAGCATGCTGGGATGCTGGGGGACTCTGATTTAACTTGAACCAGGAAAGGGTCTGGGACAGAAATTCCATAAACTTGTTTGACCCAAATTCATTAAACCTGATACTATATTCAACCAGATTTATCTTAAACCAGTTTGGGCCATTTTGAAACTGGTTTATGTGCACTGAACTTGTGTTCTGTTACAGGTTTAAACTAGTTTCTGATTACTTAACCCAGTTTGTGTGTAACTTCTGTCCCTAGCCCTAGTTGGTTGTAGCTTCCAGGTCTTCCAGTAGCTGTACCCCTCTCTGAAGACAGTAATTTATCACACATGCTAATTACAGCGCCTCATTTACTGCAATCAAGGTGAAATGCAGGCCCTACTGAAGCCAGTGACAGAATTCCCATTGACTTCAGTAAATCCAGAATTTTACCCTCAGTCTGTCATTGTTTTGTTACTATATTTTCTCACATACCACATCTCCAAATAAGAAATGCTCCTTGGTTTTGGAAGGCAGAACAAAGAGAAAATAAGATCTTTCCAGAGTCCTGGCTCACTTCAGAGAGAGCTCACTTCATGCAGCAGCTCACTCGACCTTAGCCAGCTCAATAACTGCTTTAGGCAGAAGCTGTAGTGTTAACCCCTCTCATAGTTACTGCCAAATTGGTAACAGATTTTTTTCAGATCAGCTAAAAGTTACTGCCAAGTGCCAACCTAGCAGTGGCTTTGAAATGGTTAGAACTAGAATCTACCGTTGCTGCTTCCTGGGCTGAAGAGAAGGAGCAGCTTTTATAGCACAGCTTCTAGGGCCATGCGAAGCTTTGGTTGCTGATTTGATTCAGAGGAGATTCGGCCCGATTTCAGTGGCCAATTCTCCAAATTGAATTGGGAGACCAATAAAAAGGTCTGAATTGATCCGAAGCCTCCGAATCAATTTGAAGATTTGGCCCATCCCTGCTCGCCACCGCAGGGAACAGGACCTGGACTCCGTGCCAGGTCCTATCCACTGCCTGCTCTCCCAGCCTGCCAACGGCTACCCTGCCTGGCCCCAGTGTCCTGGCACTTAAAAAAAAAAAAAAGAAGCCCCGTGCTCACCAGCTGCTGCAGCAGCTGTTGGGGCCTCTGGGGCCTCATGGCAGAGCCCCGCCATGCAGCGTGAGGCAGTGGGGATTGATTCCCTGCCTGGCAGGAACTGGTGAGTGCAGGGCTTCTTTTTTTTATTTTTTTTATTTTAAAGTACAGGGATGCTGGGGCCTGTGGGGCAGCCACTGATGGGCCTGGGAGAGTGGGCGGGGGATGGGGCCTGTTCCATTTGGCTGTGGCTGTATCTCCAAATCAGATTCGGCCAAATCGATTCAGGACAGTGATTCCAATCACTGAATCAAATCTCTGTCCCCCAAATCAGCCGAATCTGAATCCGAAGCAAATACTAGCCACTTCACACAGGCCTAATAGTTTCTATTGTGGTAAAGGAAACCATTCTCCCTGCATAAGATATGCAACCCAGTTTTGGAGGGCTGACTTTTTTGGGGGAAAAAAATGTATGTGAGTATATATGGAATTATTTGTTGTTGCTGTTTACTTTATTTTCTCAAGGTGCTGAACAGTTATGGTATTTTCCCCCTCCAATTTTAAGATTTTCTCTTTTCTTTTCTTTTCTTTTTTTTAAACTGCTGTTCTAAGGTCTATCCTCCAAGCGGAAAAATGGAGACTTTCTTCCTTTACTTTTTTGTTAGCCAAAACTTGCATCTTAATCCAGAAAATTTCAGGAAGCCCTGGATTATGGCACAAGTAAATACTATTCTAAAGCTTCAGTACAAGGAGAATAATCCAAACATTTAGCTTTCAGCAGTAGTGCAGCCAAGAAACAGTTTTTACGTAGTAGTAATTAACAAACACACACAACTGCAGCTCTGCTTAGCAAACAAACTGCATCTGTACAGTAGTGACAAGCAAAAAGGTGTACTTTATACTTTTTCAAAGGCTTTATTCTACATGTCAAAACAAGTAAGGAGGGAGACTGACTCTTGTTCCAGCTGGCATTTTGATTGCATTAGGAGGGATGGATCAGTACTCAGTCTTGATGTAAGTAGAACTGTCCACCTGCAGCTCCACAAAGGTCAAAATTTTTACCTTTTTAATTGTGGACAGCTTCTTACCTGCAGTAACTACTTCTAGGCACATTTCTTTTGGTGTAGTAACTGATTGTAATCACTGAGGTACTTTGTTCCAATCTAGTTTGTCATGCAAGTTGGTGGATGGCCACACTCATAGTACCCAGTTTCCTGTATGTGTATTATGCCTCTGGGCTATGGTGGGCAGCATGGCCCTGATTATGCAAATCCTCAAGCGCAGACCTATCTTTACTCACATGTTTAGTTTAACTGAAGTCAAAGTTGCATGTGGATTTTTGCCCAAATCCTGTTCTACCTCTAAACTGTCTAAAGCAGCACTTCTGCAGTTTTTAGTTATGCAAGTCACTCAGTGCAATACTGGCCCACTGTATTCAGTAGCCATGTGTTTAGCCAGTGCCTGGAGTCATTATGCATCTCCGTGTTGGCCTAAGCCACTAGTCTTGGGCTGCTACATCTGTTCAGAAATGATCCAGAGCTGTCACCTTACCCATCTAATTACCGTCTAAGCTCTGATATGGTCCAGTTCCACCTAGAAAGTGCTTAAACTCAGCCTAAGCCCCTGGTTCCTTGATGGAGAGACCATGCCAGGCAACTGTTTGAAGTCTATGTTATGTAGTATGGCAACAGTGGTAGCTATAGCAGTGGTGGGGGACTTGCCTAACTATTTTTCTCCTGGTAGCTACATGGTCAGGACACTTGCCCAGGAAGTGTGAGACTTGGGTTGTAAGATTCAGTCAGTTGCAATGGGTTTGATTGCACATCTCCCACTTCCAAGGGAAGTGCCCTGGGTCTGGGCTACACAGGGCATGTGACAACCTCCCCACGTCCCACTGAAGGTAGACCATTAGATGGAAAGGAATGTGAGAATCATGGGAGCATGAAAGCTGTTGCTTGACTGTAAACCCAGAAAAGAGAGCAGTCCTTTGAGAGAGAGAAAAAGAGAGAGGGAGCCCTGAGCTGTGTTCCCATTGCTGTTATGCATCTTGCACTATATAGTTGTTGGATAAAATGCATAAACAGCAGTGGAAACGGAGCCCAGGAGTCATTCCCTCCTCTTCTGTCTATTTTTGGCCCCAAGAATCTGGACTGCCCAGTGACCTGGCTTCAGTTGGAAGAATAGAGAGTCTCTCTACCCTGCTGGCCAGTAGTCTGGTGGGTTGGGCACTTGCTGGCAAAGGTGGAAGAATTAGTGGTGTTTCCTTAGCTTTTCCCTCATTTGAATGTATTTTTGTCTTTACGTAGTGTAAACATTCCTTCATTTAATGTGACTTATTTATTCATAGCATCAGTGTAAAATGATTTGTGCCCTTATTTTAACTCTTTTTTTCTTTCCTTTCAGTAGGCCATCATCTCCTCACTATTTAACCTCAGTACTTAAGCAGAACCATGGTCGATCTCTCAAAGGTAAATTTTTTCTGTGCTGTTATCTCCCAATTCATATACAACATAAATTACTGTCTGAACTGTGCAGATCAACCTGTTCTGAAAGTATCTTTATAATATTTGAGGAAGTCAGTTAATAATGTGCATTCTAGTTGTATTTGTGGGTTTCTTCTTACTCCCCCCCACCCCCTTTAAACCAGTCAGTTGGGTCCTGGGACATAAAGCAAGTTTGTATTTCAGTGTCCAACATCCTCTTCATTACTAGTATGGTACCTAACATGTATATTGTTTGCTTGTCCCAAACTCTGACCTATTTTAAAACTTGTATAATCTAGTAGGATATCCATTCAAAAGCTAAATCGTTCTTGATTTTGTTCTTAAATCCACCATTCCATTACAGGGGATTTCTCTTTTTCTCTCGCTCTTCCTCTCTCTCTGTGTTTATAAGTTTCGACTTTGTACTTTGCTGCAATTTATATGAACACGTAATTTGTATAGGGGCTGTTTTGCGGCTAGCATTACTGTCCCACCTCTAAGCTGTCCTAGGTGCTGTTTTATTGCCACTTTTATGACCATATTCCACAAAGCTTTACGCACTGAAGTTGCTTATCTGTGTGTGTGTCTTCTTTGTTCACCATAAGTGGGGGGATATTCTTCTCTATTGTGCCTTGACGTTTAATCTTCTTTGTGAGTTGTGCATAAAAGCTAAAGATTATATATAAAGTGATTTTTGCCAAAAGAACCATATGATGCACTCTGGCTCAGCACATCTTGCAGTGCCCAAGTTGTTACCTGTACTTCTTCAAAAAGAAATCCTAGGTTAACTCTTCCAGGAAGAGGTGCAGGATTACAAATTCATATTGTCTAGTAATGCGATGCATTAATGTTGTGGGGTCCAGATGTGACTCTCGCAGTTCTTGCAAAATGGAAATATATCAATAGAGCACCTGGTTCCTTTCCCACCCCCCTCCCAACCCCTTCCCTGTCCTAAGAACTTTTTGTTCACCTAGGATCCAGTTTCTTCTTCCTGCCTTTTTGTTCTTTGATGCCAACAAGGCAGTGGATGGGCATATGACAGTCAGTCTGCCATCTGAATTCCATCATTTGTGTAGGCCTGTATTAATGACACAGCAGGTGACAGTTTCTTTTCCCTGCTTGTCAAAGATCGTTTCCGTGAACCTTAAAAAAGGGACTGTCAGCCTTTCAAAAAGCCCTTTCTTTCCTTCTCCTTATTTTAAGGAGAGAATTTTCTGCCTTCAGATGAGGCTAAGTCTAATAGGAAGGATCCTGACAGTTTCTTTTTTTTTTTTTCCTGCTTGTGGCACAACTGTCTTTACAACTATAATGATATTCCTCTCTTTTTATACTTCTTTTCAGGCAGGTTATCCACTCATTGCATTGACAAATGGGTTTTTACCCTCACCCTGCAAAATCCACATGGTATTTTTTTGCTGCATTTTTGAGCCTGCTTCCAGTATTGGCTCTAAATATTACTGATGACTCTGTAGACTACACCGCTGTCTCATAACAAGATTATATCTCTGTTTTTTCTGAACTCAGTAATAAAATGGGGCACCATGGGAGCAGCCACTGACCAGGTCACTGCACGCACCCTCCCCTCCACCCAGTACCCCTCCCATCCCCCACAGGGCAGGTGACACTGCTCCTTGCCCACCCAAAGCCTCATAGGCAGTTTTGGTGAGCTGTTGCGGCGTGGGGGTAGTGCTGACCTGGCCTGTGGCAGCTCATCAAAAATCTCTATATGGCCCTCTAGCCTAAATAATTGTTCACCCCTGCACTAGAGGGTAGGGCTAGGATTCAAAGAGACCTCAACAAATTGGAGGATTGGACCAAAAGAAATCTCACGAGGTTCAATAAGGACAAGTGCGAAGGCCTGAACTTAGGATGGAACAACAGTCTGGGGACCAGCTGGCTAAGCAGCAGCTCTGCAAAAAAGGACCTGGGGGGGGTGGGAGTACAGTGGACAATGTGCTGAAGATGAGCCAGCAGTGTGTCCTTGTTGTGAAGACGGCTAATGGCATACTGGGCTGCATTAGTAGGAGCGTTGCCAGCAGATTGAGGAAAGTGATTATTCCCCTCTATTCAGCAGTAGTTAGACCACATCTGGAGTACTGTTTAGTATTGGGCCCCCCACTACTGAAAGGTTGTGGACAAATTGGAGAGTCCAATGGAGAGCAATGAAAATGGTTAGGGTTCTAGGGTACATGACTTGTGAGGAGATGCTGAGGGGACTGGGTTTATTTGTTCTGGAGAAGAGAAGACTGAGGGGGATTTAATAGTAGCCTTTAACTTCCTGAAGTGGTTGCAAAGAAGATGGAGCTAGACTGTTCTCAGTGGTGGCAGATGACAGAACAAGGAGCAACAGTTTCAAGTTGCAGCAAGGGAAGTTTAGGTTAGATATTAGGAAGAATTTTCTCACTAGGAGGGTAGTAAAACACTGGAACAGGTTACCTAGAGAGGTGGTCAACTGTCCATCCTTGGAGGTTTTTAAGATCTGGCTAGACAAAGCTTTGGCTGGGATGATCTAGTTGGGGGTGGTCCTGCCTTGAGCAGGGGGTTGGACCAGATGACCTCCTGAGGTCCCTTCCAATCCTAACTTTCTATGAATGAGAGAGATAATGGAGGTTCTTTTTAAGGTGTGTGCGCATCGGGAGTCCTAGTAGAAGCAGTCTTCCTACTGATCCTTAGTTACAAGTCTGACTACCTTGAATCTCCTACATTGTAGCATGTGTCTACTTGAAGCAATGTAGGTATAAAGTACACAAAGCCCCTTAGTAGCTTAGTACTTTGTAAATGAACGAAATACAATCTTTGATGGTAAAGTGTAGTATTGCTGTCATCTTACTGGTCACCATTTCCTTTGCCTAGCAAGTTCTCTCTCGTTTTCTTCTAGGTCTTGATAAATGCAGCATAAAAAAAGGCTGGAGGGGGGAGGTTGGCCATAGTCCTGTCTTGTAGATTTCCATTTCTGGTGTCCCACTACGAAAAATTTAGGCTTTAGGACACTATAGCCTTCCCTTTTAATGGTGGCGTCATTGATTCAAGTAAAATGATACATATCTCAACTGAGTTTCTCTCCATTTAAGTCCAAATATGGTGGGGGGAAGACTATGGATATCTTATTCTGTGCAGGGGTTCCAGAAATGTACAACCATGGTCAGGTGAAATACAATTTTGTTGGAGAACTCTTGTTGTGTGTGGCTGAGTGACAGTGATGAAGGCCAATACTAAGCCCTGTTCCACTGGAAATTTGCTGCCCCTGCCAAAAGGAGAAGCATCTGTAGAGGAGTATTCCTGGCAGCAATCTTCTGTAAAGGTGACTTAGGATGAATCTTAAACAGGCTATCTGTCTGCCAAGAAAATAAGATGGTATTTTTTGTGGCCGTATAGGTAGAGATTTTAGTGCTCTCTTAGAAGTCCAGTATGAGGTAGGATTGAATGGGAATTCAGCATCGTTTGTCATCAAAGGGCACTTCCTGGCCTGTCTGCTGATCCGCTCTTGAATCTTTTCTTCACGCTTGCCCTGAGACTAACAGGATGGCTATGTCTGCTTGAGTAAACATAAGATGCTAAAGGCTTTAGATGGAACAGGATTCTGTATCTCTCACTTTCTTTTATGGCTGCTCTCTTCTCTGATGTCAGTGTTGAGTTTGCCGGGCAGATTCTGGCTATTCCAATTAAAGACAGCAATAGAACCAAAAGTAGGAATTTCTTTGTGTTAATTTCAATTTTCACATCTCCCTGTACCTTTCTATTAGAGGCAAGCCATTAGTATGCCATGAGTCAATGGGAACAGCTGTTCTTGAGAAATGAAGACTTTCTTTTAATGTATCCTTTAGGACTGTGCAAAACAGCACTGTTCTGATTCAACTTCCGTTTCGACTATTTGACAGAACAGTGTTTCATGTACAGTTTCATTTTATTTTGAAAGCACCATTCCATTTCGTTTTGTCCTTGGCACCGGTCCCAACCAACAGCACCCACTCCTCTCATCTGGCAGACAGATTGGGTGCTTGCCTGCACCCCCAGGAGGGCTGTGGGGATTGTGTCAGAGTCCTCCTGGGGGTGTGGGCCTCTGATCTGCTTGCCATATGACAGATTGGTTGATGCAGCCTGTACCCAGCACTGAGAAGATCGGTGCTGCCGCTGGCCCCAGGCGGCAGCACCCGTCTCCTGTCACCCGGCAAGCAGATTGGGGGCACACACCGCTGGGAGGACTTCAGCCTAGCCCCCGCAGCCCTCCTGGGGGTGCTGGCATGTCCCAGATCTGTCTGCTAGCTGATAGGAGCCAAGTGCTGCTGCCTGGGGCCAGTGGCAGCCAGGGCTATCCCTGGGGGGGTGCAAATTGGGGCAACTGCCCCAGGCCCCACACTTTGGTGGGCCCCATGGAGCTGGGCAGGATAGCCACGATGACTCTGCACTGCCACTGGCTTCGTGTCTGGCCAATTGCTACCCCCCACTGCTGCTGCCACCACCTCAGCAGCCATCAGCAGCGGCTTCTTTGCATCCAGGGTGCACAGGATTGGGGTGGGGCCAGGTCCCCGCATGAACTGATTTGCCCCAGGCCCTGCACCCTCCTTGGGTCAAGGGTGTGGGGCCTGAAGCAGGGACCTGCCACCGCCATGATCCTGTGCGCCCTGGTTGCAAAGAAACCACCGCTGCCGCCTCCATTGGTGGCAGCGGCAGGGGGTATAGCGAGCGGCCAGACGAAGCTAGCAGTGTTGCAGAGTTGCCACAGCCACTCCACCCAGCTCTGCAGCGCCCCCCAAAGTGCAGGGGCAGGGGTGGTTGCCCTGATTCGCCCCCCCCTTCCCCACCCCCCTCCAGGGACGGCCCTGGCTGCCACTGGCCCCAGGCAGCAGCACTTGGCTCCTGTCAGCCGGCAGGCAGATCTGGGGCTTGCCCGCACCCCTGGGAGGGCTGTGGAGGCTGTGCCGGAGTCCTCCCAGCAGTGCATGCCCCTGATCTGCTTGCTGGGTGACAGGAACCGGGTGCTACTGCCTGGGGCCAGCGGCAGCACCGATATTCCTGGCACTGGGTGCGGGCTGCACCCAGTGCCAGTCTCATCTGGCAGGCAGATCAGGGGGCCTGTACTCCCAGGAGGACTCTGGTACAGTCCCCGCAGTCTGCCTTGGGGGTGCATGCAAACCCTCAATCTGCCTGTCAGATGACAGGAGGTGGGTGCTGCCGGCTGGGACTGGCACTGAAGCCAGTAAGCCTTGGTTTCAAAACTTGAAATGTTTTGAGTTCCCTTGTTTCATTTCAAAGCTGTTTTGAAGTTTTTTTGCTTCATTTCAGTTTTGCTGTTTCAAGCTTGAAATGCTTAGAAATGAAATGCTGGGCGAAATTTTGCACAACCCTAGTATCCTTTAGCCATTCTGCTGAGAGAGTATAAATGTGACAATGCGTAGTGTAGTGAGAGGGAGCAATCTGGAATAAAGCCAAAGTACACTAATGATTATCTGCAGTACTGTCTGCCTCTCTAGGGACTGTTTCCGTCAGTTCTGTTCTGCACTGGTGTGCTGAAGATACAGAAACCTGGTTCAGAGGTATCAATTTTGTTTTGCGTCAATGTTTAGAACACCTTGTCATTTAACAAGGTAGCATTTATGTACCAACATCATAGTTAAAATAATAAACTGTAAGTGAAATTTCTCAACATTTTACTTCCTGATCAAGATAATAGGGCAAAAATAACAGTTAGCAACATTTTTGCTAGTTGGATACAAATGATTTGTAAACTTGATTGTAGTGTTGGTGCCAATAAAAATCTGGAAAGAATAAGAATAAAAATCTCATGAGTGAAGTGGGACAGACTATAAAGGATGTTCTTCTCACATTCTGATCTTTTAACAGTGTGGAAAGTATACATTCCATAGATAGTGCTGAAAACAAAACCCAGTATTCCTCTCCTTTCTTCAAATCCTATTCAGTTGGCTTCTCAGTGGTCTTCTGTGCCTCCAAGTACATTTTAAAAGGAAAACTCAATAAATGCATAGACAAACTAGTAATTAGCCAAGTTAGGATATTAAAAGTGATTACACACCTTGTCGCGGGTAGGTGTTGTAAGGCTTTGGGGACTTCTTCATCGGTGCCTTGTCCCCCAGAGACGTCAGAGTGAAACCTTAATCTGATGCCACCTAGATGGTCTGGGCGCTTACCCTTTTTCTTGCCTGTCATGTCTTCGGTATTATTTGTTGGGGAGGCAGTTCCCTGTTGGGACCTGGAGGGGTCTTCATGGAGCTCCAAACCTCCCCTTTACCCCACCCTTACCGTGTCTTTGGCCTGGGTTGATGCTGCTCCCTGCATATCTTCCCCACACTGCCCCCCTTGCAAGGGCTGGATCTTCTGGGCTGTGAACCTTCAGAGTTTCAACCTCGGTCTTCGGGCTGGTTTTCCTCTCTTCACAAAAATAAACTTGCCCCTGCTAGGGTCATCTGTAACGCAACTGAAAATGCCGGTGCCTGCCGGTGGAGCTCCTGAGATTGTCTGTCTGTCTGTCTGTCTGTCTGTCTGTCTGTCTGTCTGTCTGTCTGTCTGTCTGTCTGTCTGTCCCACCCCCCGGGGGGTGGGGCTTATTTGTCCTTTCCCCTCTAACTGGTGGAGATATGGGGGGTGCCCTTGTGCCCCACCCCTACCAGTTCTTCTGGTGTCCCTGCCTGGGGACCCGGCTGACCTGAGGTCCTGTCATCCTGGTCTGTCTCTCGCTGGCATCATTCCTCTCCCCCTTTAGGGGGCTTGTGGTTCCCTGTGCTCTGTCCCATCCAGAGCCATCCGAGGATGGTTGAGGGCTTGAGGGTCTACCCTCAGCCACGGTTCTGGAGCTCCTAGCCAGAGCCCTGCCAGTGTCCAGCGGCATCCCACCTGATCACTGCCTCTCTGCAGGCTCCTCCTGCCGATCCCCAAGTCTGCCTCCTGCCTCGCTGGTCGTGGTCTCTCGGTAGACGACTGACCCCTTGTCTGGGGAGCTGGGGCTGGAGCTGGAGCCTCCAAGCTCTGGAGTTGCGTCTCCTGGCTGGTGTTCCGCCCCTCTCTCCCTGGCTCACCGCCCACTGTCTCCCCAGCCACCTTTTGAGCAGCCTGTGTGGCTCATAAACCACGCTCCCCAGCTCTCCAATACACAGGCTCAGGCAGCTGCAAAACTGCCAAGCCTGCACCTCTTCCTGTGTCCGACTTCCAGTCTCCTCCTCGCTGCTGCCCGTCTCTGCTCCTGTGGTGAGTGACAGGGCATTCCGATTAGGGGTCCAGGCCACGCTCGGGGGACTCCTGTCTCCCCTCTCACACACCTCTTAAATTAAGCTAATTTTTCCCAGTCAAGGAAAAAATTGACCTGATGGGATTTAAGACCATTCAAATGACAACTCAGTAGTTTCTTTTAGTTTCTTTTCATTTTGGGAGAGGGGTTTGCCGGGGTGGGGAATCTATGAAGTGATTCCCACATAGGCAGTTATTTTGTAATAGCATGGCTGTGAACAAAACGAGAGCCATCTAAGGTAGTGCATGCCACTAATTTATACTTCAACTGCTGGTAACAGTGGGGAAAATGCTGCTAGTCAAGCCTTTTTCAACTTCCCTTACCCTATTCAGCAGGATTGTAGGGTACAGGTTGTTAATAACCTGTTCTACCCCTTGCACTGTCCTAAGCATGTTCTTTTTTTCCATCACGCGTCATGTATACTTACTGTCCCACTCTGTGGTCTTCTCTGAGACACAGAGGCTCCTTTATGGAAACCTCTTGCCTTTTAAGATGCATTGTTCCTTTACCCAGTAATTGTGTACACCTCTCTTCTTTTTTGTCTGATCAGTCCTCTAGTAAGCCAGTGCTGTAGTCCAGGGTGCAGAGTTTTATAGGATCAGTCTCTTGATCTTCTGAAGACATTATAGAAGGCTTTGAACTTATTTATGGCCTCTTCATATTTAAACTTCTACTTTTGTGTTTAATAGAGTAGAATGAATAAAAATCGAAGAAAGGAAGTCGCATATGGAAAAATATAAATAAAGAACAAGGTGAACAAAAAGATCATGGAACATTGTATCTATTTTTATGTGCTATTCCTTAGAAAGTTAGTTTATCATCAGAATAGAAAGGTGTGCTCAGTATCAGTGTATAAATAGTTCTAGTAGAGAGCCTAATAGCTGTGTCACTGCTACCACAGAGCCAAATACGAATCCATCTGATTCTGTTCTGATTTTAGTTAATAACTTTTGTTGTAGTAGAGGCCTGTCTGTTTTCCTCCTTGGGCTCTTCAAATAACCAATAAATCAGTGCTGCAGTTCCAAGGTATAGAATTTCTTAGAGCAGCATTTTGAAATGACTAAAAGCACTACTGTTCATCTGTATCTTCAGGTCTTCAACTGCCCATTTATTATTTATACCTTTGTGCATCTTGGATCAAACAGTTTTATCCATTCTTTTTCTTTTGGCTTCTTTGTCTATCTCTGTTATTCCATTTGACTTATTGGTTTGTGTGAAAAAGTGCATGGAGTACTTTTTAGTGCTGTTCTATGACAATGCTGTTCATGCGTGCTGAATTAGTTCTGCATTTATGTAATGCATCAGCTTGACAAACTTACATATTTATAGAATGAAATCCAAGGCTGCTTAGGAAGAGCTCGGCTCTGGTGTATGTCTAATCTTTTTCTTTTTATTGTTACTTGTATATGAGAAGGCTTTCCTGTTATGCTTATCTACAATGGCCACTGCTCTTTGAATGCTTGTGGTGAAGTACATTAGAAACCAGACAAGCCTTTCAAATTTAGTTGTCACTACCAATGTACATTAAATTAATTGTCCTGCAACAGGAGCCCTAATAGTCACATTCTTGCTCTATAGCGTATTAATTTTGGCCATATAGTAGTAATATATGCTCCGTATTCTTGGACACATGAACCATCATGATACTAGAGGCAACTACAAGTGCATGCTATTGTTTCTGAGTAGGACAGCCTTTTCTGACTTCCCTAAAATGGAATCTAACTTTCTGCTTCCTCTTCTTTATAGAATCTGACATTGATGCTGCTACTGCCATGATGCTGTTAAATACTTCCATTGAACAAGGGATGTTGGACTGTAAGCATAAACAGTTTTATCTTTTGTTTTGTCCTTAGCTGGTAGTTGAAGACTTAGCCAAAAATTTTAGCAGCAAAGTATTCTTTAGCTTATGAGTAGCTGGAAGGAAATAGTGTACCAAATTGGCTTATGCAGCCTCTTCTGCCACCACGCTCCTGTTTTTCTACAGGTCAACCTTTCTGCTGTTTTTAACTAACTTAATATTTTTCTCTCCCTACATATATAGACACCTAATTGCAGACTGGTTGTCTACCACTATTTTTGTTCAGATTTGCTGAATCTGCAAGTTTTCCAGTGCTCAGTATGGCTGCTTATAGACATGAATAAAAACCAAACAAACAGTGTTTTAGTTACAGTTTGGTGCACCCCTGCGCCGAGTGCAGTGCATGTCCAAAAGAGGAATCATGTCCGTTTGACCAAACTCACTCAGTGTCTCTATAGCTTGCGCACTTCAGCAGGGCTTATTGGGACATTATCTAATAGCTGGTTCAATCAGCTATTAGGTAAAAATGCCAAAAAGCCCTGTTGTGCACATGCTGGATAAGCAGAGTCAAACTGACATGATTGTGCTTCCTGTAAAGTGCTGTGCTTTGTTTCTGTTTGTTTAGTTTCTGGGGAGGGTTTCCCACGTCTGTCGATGCCCTACATGTCCAGTGATGTATACCTATTGCCTCCTGTAGAAATGATGTATTCATACAGTTTATCTCTGTCAGATTATATACCAAGGTGGAATGGTTCTGTTTCAGCTGTTTTGCTTACTGATAGATCTGTGCTTTCAATAATAGGTGAGAATCCCCAGCCACTGAAGACAGCCAAGAAAAGGAGTTATGGTAGTGCATTTAATCCTCACAGTTCAATGAGTCTGCAAGAAAATGATTCTGCAGCCACCAATATTGATCCAAAGAAGGATCACAATTACAGTGTTAGCAGTGTGGCTTCACAGCGCTGTGCATCTAGATCCAGCGTGTCTTCCTTGTCCTCAGTTGATGAGGTATATGAATTCATCTCCAAGACCAGCCATGCAGGAAGTGACAGCAGTGAAGGATTTCACAGTGAAGTGGATACAGACGTTGACTATGAAGATGACCCGCTTGGAGACAGTGGCTATGCATCACAACCTTGTGTAAATACCTCTGACAGGGTTCTCAAGGAGTTATGTCAAGAAATAGATGAGGAGCTGAAAGAGGCAGCTGGCTCTCTGCTCCACCTGGCTGGAATCCACACATGTTTGGGTTCCTTAATAAGTACTGCAAAGGCCCACAGTAAGAAGCAGAGGAAAAAATAGTTATACCTGGTAGTGTGAATATATACTTATATTTTTTTTAAGTGTGGCAATACTCTTCTACTTTTACCCTTCACAAGGGAGATCAAAGCCATAAGAGGACTTGTTTGCTTTTTATTTTTGGCGCTAATTATAGCTTGGCCTTTTTGTTTTTAAATCATTGGCTAGAAGATTTTATTTAATCATTTCAGATTAGAGGAGATGCCTGACTGGGGAAAACCCAATGGTATCCTTCTTAATGGTGATTGATTTGAATATTTGATTACTTCCTGAGAGATGAATTGGTTCAGATGCACATTATGAATAATTTTGCTCTGTACTAACCCTCCACACACACTCAAGGGGAAATAGCACCCAGGGTCGAGGGAAGACAGCTTTTCCATCTCTTCCCATAATACAAATAACTTTTACTGGTGAGACGGGTGAAAAGCTGCCATTTTGTGTGTGTGTGTGTGTGTGTGTGTGTGTGTGTGTGTGT